ATAGTTTTAGTCAACAATTTTTAGTAAACTTTTCTTTCCTCAAATATGTGATAACATATTGTATGTCATTTTTATATTTATTTTGCGACTATTGCACAACACAAGTGCGGTATAAACGATGCGTCATGCAGCGCGACACATATAATGTGATACTTGATGACTCATTTTTGAAAGATGCGATTTCGGAACATAATAAAATCATATATGGTTGAATTCAGCGTAAAAAATGCTACAACTTTTGTCATTACAAAAATTTTGAAATTCGAAAAAAATAATAACAAGGAATGGGGGTAAATTTAAAAAAATAACATTTTTTGAAAATCCAACTACACAGTTATATAGCCCATTACAAGCCCTACAACTTCTATTTAAAACATTTTTTTATATCTCCTACGGTTTTGGCGATAGTTACACACAAAGAAAAAAACCGTTTTTTTTCAAAGGGGTGTTTCACCCCTTAAATTTGAGATAGGGCCGCTATAAAAAAATACGTGTCTCCTCAAATTGTATGTTTTACAACATATTTCAAGGAGAATCAAATCGGGGGGGGGGAACACTTGTGAACGTTTCCTTGTTAGTGAATTACTTTTGTTTCTTGACACTATGTTGTTCAAAAATGGTCCGTCATGAAGTGTTAATTGGATAAGGGGTTTCTTAATTAGTTGTTGCTTTTTATTTTGAATCCCACGAGTTGGGTCGAAATATGAGGTCACTTGCAGGGCATCGCCTATTTCTAGAAGAAGACATTGAATCGATGACGTTCGTCAGATGCGTCAAAGTTGGCCGCTAGCGACTGGATAACTCTTCAGCCATACATTTCGTCGGCCCAGAGCTTGAGATTGGGAGATTTTTTGTAGGGGTTTTTTTTCTCGCAGGTTAGTTAGTGAAGCTAGAACCCCTTTTTCAATGAAACGTGTGGAAAAATTACGATGTGGAGTTATCCTTTCGGATTACGCACTAGATTTTTTTGTAAGAGTTGTCTCTCTTAGCCAGTTTTTCCCGTTTAAAGCGTCGGAAAATTAACTTGCGCTCTCCATCTTCTGCTTCATCTATTGCGGCCAATCAATGATGATGGACTGCAGCATTGTTCGGAGAGGACGACCTGGGACGTTATCCCGGGTGGAGAACGTAGGACTTATTGGCTCAACTTTCTTGAAGCTGATTGTTATGTCAACTAGTTAAAGCTTATTGATACCCTGGCAGAAGCGGTACTGCTAATCCTTAGTCAGCTTTCCCTCCAATAGATAAAATGACGATAGATGAAGAGTTTTCTTTGTTTATTTCGGAGAGCATATCTAATTGGGATCCTCAAACATGGTAAATTTCATGCAGGGTTTGACGGGTTTATCACCTAGAAAAATTATAACAATTAACGGTGGATAACATTTATCACATGTTTATATGCTATGCTATTTCAGTTTGTTATGTTATTTCGAATAGAGATGGTGATATCTTGTGATAGTAATAGAATAAAACAAATATATATTCGAGAAAGTCATTACATAAATGATACTGAAGAGAAAGGAAAGTGGAAGCACCTTAACATGAAAAAATGTTTTAAAAAAATCATTAACCAGTTGAGTGGTAGACTTTTCCGAAAGATTTGTGCCAAAAGTGATAAGAGCCAAAAGTTAAAATTTCGAAAAACGGTGAAACATGGGTTCAAAGTTTTTGAAAAAGCAACTTTTCGGAATGGGTGTGGATCCCCCCCCTCCCCCCACACGCCCTGGGGGCGGGGGGCAGAATAGGGATGGAAAATGTTAAATGGCACTATGGGTCGAGTAGGGATCATTTGAAAGAGCGTTTCAAGACAAGAACAATGATTTTTGAAAATGTTTACTACGACTTTCCAGTCAAAAGTGGAGGTCGATCAAAAAAGGAGTATGGACTTCCGAAAAGCTATCTCCGATTTGGCTTATATTCAGCCTAAATACTTATTTTATCTAGTAAATAATATTCCCAAATGGATTTTTGGCGCAAATACCCCCTCCGTCCCCCAGCCCCCCCTCAAAGATTCAAAAATAAAATTGTTTTTGTTAATTATTTCAGAAAGTATTTATTGTACGAAAAAAGTTGTCAAACAAAAAATGAAGCTCATAAAAAGCTCTACAAATAAGGCCTTATACATATTTTACCTAACTCTAATATTTTAGTCGTTTTCACAATTAACAGTCGCCATATTGGATCCGCCATTTTGAATTTTGCAATTTTGACAACAGATTCAAATTTAGCAGCCCAAAAAAAAACCTTAGGATATCAAGTTTTATGCAGATCTGTTGAAAATTAGTGGAGTTATTTAGAAATGTACATATATGATACATTACCACGTTTGGCACTTTTTTTTGTACATATATGATACATTACCACGCAACTGGTTAAATTCATTCTTTAAATTTTTAAAAAATTTAATTTGTTTGAAAGTCCTACCTGCAACAAATACTACTACTACCACTACTACCACTACTACCACTACTACCACTACTACCACTACTACCACTACTACCACTACTACCACTACTACCACTACTACCACTACTACCACTACTACCACTACTACCACTACTACCACTACTACCACTACTACCACTACTACCACTACTACCACTACTACCACTACTACCACTACTACCACTACTACCACTACTACCACTACTACCACTACTACCACTACTACCACTACTACCACTACTACCACTACTACCACTACTACCACTACTACCACTACTACCACTACTACCACTACTACCACTACTACCACTACTACCACTACTACCACTACTACCACTACTACCACTACTACCACTACTACCACTACTACCACTACTACCACTACTACCACTACTACCACTACTACCACTACTACCACTACTACCACTACTACCACTACTACCACTACTACCACTACTACCACTACTACCACTACTACCACTACTACCACTACTACCACTACTACCACTACTACCACTACTACCACTACTACCACTACTACCACTACTACCACTACTACCACTACTACCACTACTACCACTACTACCACTACTACCACTACTACCACTACTACCACTACTACCACTACTACTAATTTATTTAAATAAATAAGTCGTAGCTTTGTGAAATGCTAAATTATCTTTTTTATTTTTATTTTAAAATTAAACTTTGGACAATTGAGATAGCCGCTTAATTGAACCAAAATATACAGTCCCGATGTGTCTTAATTAGCCGGAATCGACTGTATTAGTATGTCGTAAACATATTGATTTAATTACATTTTTACAGATCCTTTATCTTCTCAACCATTATACACACTTGGTGGCAATAAACATTACGAATTAATGTATAGTTTGGGCGTATCGTTCCTTCACGCTGGTCAAGCATCAAAAGCTTTTGATTGCTTCACAGAAGCAGCACAAAGATTGCACAACAATCCTAAACTCTGGCTCAGAATGGCAGAATGTTGTATTTATAGTCACAAAAGTGTAAGTTATATTGTAATATTTCTAATTTATATATATGTAAATAGAAAATTTTCTATTTATATTTGTAGTACAAAGGCGCTATGATATATTTTCCAAAGAAAATGATAGGAATTTGTCGTGAAACTTAAACATCTCTGAATATCATAATTTTGGGAAATAATATATGCCAAAAATAATTTATTTCTTTGTATTATATTTAAATATAAATTAGATATAAAATATTTAAAATTTACAAATTTTTCTCTATTAAAATATTAAAATCTTTACCATGTGGTTGTCTTTATTATCTTTACATATTGAAGAATATTGAGACATATAGAATATTGAGACATATTTCATATTTTATACATTACATGGATAAAAGAAATTAGATATTGAATAATATAAAATTTTCAGCTTTTAAAATAACTTTGCACGACTTTAATTCTATGTTAAATTAAAATAATTTTTTATTTTATTAAATTAAAATAATTCTTTATTTTATTTTTATTATAAAACAGGAAATCTGGAGAATTTTAACTCTTTTTTACCTCTTTTATATGAAACTAGCAGGACCAAATCGGTAGAATTAAATAGGACCTATTGGAATATTTAATACTTATTTTGTATTAATTTGTACCATAAAACATAATTTTGTACCCCATGTCATTTAGAAGAAACTTGTGGTCCTGCTAACTTTACATGAAGCTAGCAGGATCACAAGAAAAAAAAGAAAAAAATACAAATAAAAGCAGATATGATTAGGACTGATTTTGTACTAATTTGTACTACTCAAGATAAATTAATATTTTAAATTTAATTAATATATTCATCTTCAGAAAAATTTACACCTCTCTCTTTTAACTAGCTCCAAGAGTAAAGTACTCTTTTCCCTTAGCAGAATCACACGATACTATTTTTGCTCGATGTTTGGTAATTTGTACCACTAAAATGAGAATTTGTATCCCTGCTCTTTTTCTCGAAACCATCTCTAACTGTGATGACCTCAAAAGCAAAGTACTCTCTTCTTTCAGCAGAATCGAACGACACTACCTTTGCTCGATGTGTGATAATTTGTACCATTAAAATATGAAATTTGAGATTTTATACTCTTGTCCTTCTTTTCGAAATTACCCTTAACTTTTGATGACTTCAAGAGTAGGTTTGCTCTTGAGGTCATCAACAGTTAGGGATGGTTTCGAGAAAAAGGGCAAGGGTACAAATTCTCAAACTTAATATTTTAGTGGTACAAATTACCAAGCATCGAACAAAAATAGTGTCATTTGATTCTGTTAAGGGAAAAGAGTACTTTACTCTTGGAGCTAATTAAGAGAGATATATAAATTGTTATGAAGATGATTATATTAATTAAGTTTAAAATATTAATTTATCTTGAGTGTTACAAATTAGTACAAAATCAGTTCTAATTATATCCGCTTTTATTTTTATTTTTTCATTTTTTTCTTTGCTTCATATAAAGTTAACAGGACCACGAGTTTCTTCTAAATGGCATGGTGTACAAAATTATGTTTTATGGTACAAATTAGTACAAAATGAGTATTAAATATTCCAATTGGTCCGATTTAATTCTGCCGATTTGGTTCTGCTAGCTTCAAAGAGGTTTCTTTTCCACTTCCGATCCTGTATTGTTTTGTATAACAATAAATAAACATATTACTCTTAATTAGTAAGAGATTATTTGAATTAAAAAGTATTATTTTTGGAAGTAAAGAATTATTGAAAATACATTTAATTTATTTTAGAATTTATATAATAAATGTCCAATTTTGCTTTCAAACTATATTTTCTAGATAACATAAATTAAAAAAAAAAGTGAACTGTGCACTACAGTCATACTATTTAATGAATTTGTATAACTATATCACATGTATGCTGTTAAGTAATAATAAAATTACACATTTATTATCTATTTTTTTCAGTCAAATGAAATCGACTTCAATATTCCAAAGCGACGCAAAGATTTGGTGCAAAAATTTATAGGTTCTGGTATGCATAGGAAGATTATACTAACCACATCTATCTCAAAGAATGTTAGTTATCATTCGGAAGGCCTGTCTTATGCAATCCCACAGCCAACATTAGAATTTGGATCTTTATGCCTAAAGAATGCATTATTTTTATTACCAAATAATAATGAACCAAATATGTCTGTGTCCACTACAACGAATTCACAGATATTGTCACTATCATTAACATCTAATCATAGTTTAGGTACAGATTTACAATATGATTATTGTGCAATATAATTTAATTTATGCCTTATACAATTATTTCATTTTATATAATTATTTTAGGTGTCCAGCATACAACGTTAACTTCTCAAGTTACTATGCTTGAATCTTTTAATTTGAAAATTAGTGTTTTGGCCGCTTGCGCGTACGTGTCATTATGTCTCGGAGATTATGTACTTGCTTTCGAATATGCAAAAATCCTACTAAGCTTTAAGAAATTACCTGGAGCATATAAAATGTTAGGCAATTTATATGCTGCTGAAAGTTTGATCTTTATGGATAAAATCAGTGAAGCTCTCGAACATCTTAAGCTAGAAAATCTTCAAGATTTAAATACATTTATGTTTATGTCAGAAGTTCAAGAAAAGGATAAAGAAAAAATGGAAGAAATTATGACGAAACCTATAAAAAGTATGTTTAAAAAATAATATTATTATTTTAACAATTAAATAGGAAATTTTTTCATAATTTCTCATAAAAAAATTAATTAAAAATATTTAAAAAAAATATAATTCTTTGTCTTCAAGAAAATTTATTTAAACATAAATATGCGTAAATTTTAGGTCACACCTCACCGATTTTGTCGCCATTTAGATATGTTGTAGGGGAAGTTGTTCTGACAATGAGTAATTCCCCGCAAAAATCAAGTGGAGGACGGCATTAGTTTAGGAGATATAACAAATTAAAGTTTCACAATTTTAATGCTCTTTTGATGTTATAAATTGATATTACGAACAGTGAAGTTTATATAGTATATATATGTCGTAGTTTGTGTACAAAGTAAGATATGTAAAGTTTTTGTTTATATTTTTTAAAGGATAATTACATGGTCCTAGATATTTTGTCAACAGTTCAGTTTTACCTATTTATCGCAGTTTATTAATAGCTTTCAGCATGCGACTACACGAATTTCTAAGTCTTGTTGAGGATAGCAATAAGTTATTAGCTTTTCTCGTTGATCAAAAAGTTATTTACGGACACATTAAATGTCCATGATGTGAAGCAGTTGTCGATTTAAATCGTGAGCGTAAGGTTCCTTACGCACTGTTGACTGAGTCGCACGGCGACTTGGTCGTCGGCGATCACTGAGTATATTAGAATTTATAAGCGCTTACGCACGTAGTTACCGCTGGTCGCAACTAGCCTTTGTTTCTAGTCTCTTGGCGACCAAGGGTGCGTTCGGGGAGCTCGCTACCGCGCTATCAACGCTAACGCTACTAGCTAGCTCCATTCATGGAGCCAAGATAGCGCTAGTAAATGCGAGCTCCGTGAACAGCAATAGCATAGCGTGGTAGCGTGTGTCTGCTAATAAAAATGGAACAAGATTGTAAAAAAGCAATATTAACAGCAGTAGCACTTATAATGCAAGAATTAATAGATTCATCGTCTGACAGTGATGATGCATCTATTCGTCAGTCTCGCAAACGCTAACGCTACCAACACACTACCTCGGAAGGAATAGCGTTGATAGCGCGCAGTTATGACGTAACACACTACCATTAATGACGTCATAATTGCGTTTGGTAGTACTACCAGTTAGCTCCACGAACAATCGATAGCGCTAAATAGCGCTAATAGCGTCTTCCCGAACGCACCCCAAATCGCTGGCGACTAAGTTGACAGTGCGTAAGGGGCTTGTGTTTTTTATGTGTCACACTGTGAAGTTGGACAACGCGGACACAACGAAAATGTGGTGTAATTTTACGCTCCACAATTTCAATTAACTGATTAGAATTAGGTTTGGGTTAGATTAGAGTTAGAATTTTTTGAGATGTAGGTGCAGAGGGCTCCGCCCCTCCCACGCCCATGCGTAAAAGTTGTAAACAAATTCTTTTAATCAAATAATAACAGATTATTTACTTCATTGTTCGTAATATCAGTTTATAATACCGAAAAAAGCATTAAAATTGTGAAACTTTAATTTGTAATATTTCTTAAACCAATGCCGTCCCTCATCAAGATCTATAGAGAGAAGGTTACCTCATTCGCAAAAAGGGACGAGCGGCAAGAGGAGCAATGATGATCTCATCGGCAAACAGAAGCTATAGGTCTGTTCTTTATAGCTGAACTGGTTGCACTAGTTCAGAGTTTATCTTTCTCCTTCCAATATGGAGGGAAAAAGATAAATTCTGAACTAGTGTAGCCAATTCAGCTATAAAGAACAGACCTTAGCTACTGTTCGCAGATGAGATCATCATGCTCCCCCCTTCCTTCATCTTCCCTCGCCAACAACCGGTTTTACTGAGGTAACCTTCTCCCTATAGATCTTGGTCCCTCATTTGATTTTTGCGGAGAATTACCTCAAAACAACCTCTTCTACAACATATCTAAATAGCGATAAGATCGGTGAGGTGTGACTTAAAATGTATATTTACCTTATTTATTAAAAAATTAATTTTTTTTAAATAAAAAATATTTTTCTGTTTTTAAATAATTTTTAGTATTTTAAGTAATTTATAGTAATTTAATTATTTTGTTCTTTACTATATTTAATACAAAACTATCAGAGATTATCAAATTTTACAATATAAAAAATATTTTTTCTATTTTACTATTTTATCTCTATTTTTCTATTTTATTTCTGATAGTTTTGATAGATAGAATCTCTGATAGAAAGAACAAAATTATCAAATTACTATAAATTATTAAATTTTTATAAAAATTTCAAATTTTATGATTAATTATACAAGGTATATCTAAAAGTTGGAACCAAATTCATACAGTGTGTTAATAAGATACAGTAGATGAAAAAATTGAAATAAACGTATGTCCAAGAATGTTTTATTAAAAAGTTATAAGCGTGTTCAAATATTCACGAGTAGAATTGTTCTCTATAACACATCAGACGAAATCGCTGACTCAAAAACAAATAACTTTCAGTTATTGTTTACATATTTTGATTTGTGTGTGACATTTAAGTTCTGTGACAGAAATCGAATTATCTTTGAAAATATCAATCAGAGATTGACAGAGTTTGAAACTTTCAAGGGAAACCATCACGTTGAAGAAATCAAATTATCAAAGTAAACAAGAAAAAAATTTTACAAATTGTAAAATTGTAGATGATCCGACTATTAGTGTTCGACGGGTAGTTGCCATTTTTGATCATTTTAAAATAAACATGGAGAGCATTAAAAAGAAATGGATTACTTCCATTTTATCTTCAAAAAGTTCAAGAATTACAGCCATATCACGAATCAAATTGAATTGCTTTTTGTCAATGGATACTACAAAAATGATTAATAAATCTGCAATTCTTTTGCACGATATTATTTACTGATGAGACATGACATGGAGTATTTAATTTTCATAATAGTCATATGATCACAAAGATGAAAATCCACATACTACACGAACTTTGTACCAATTTTCAACAAATGTGTGGGCAGGAATCATTGGCGAACAATTAATAGAACCGTACAGAATGTCAAGTAGACTGATAGGTGAATTTAGAATTTTTGGAAAATAATCTTCTCGTCTTAGAAGTTATCCCATTGGAAATGCATTTTAAATATTTTTACACGGTGCTTCGTCGCATTTTAGAAAGAATATGCGTGAATTTTTTAATTATCAATTCCCTAAGCATTGGATCGGTCGCAGTCAATCATTTGACCTGCAGGTCATTAGATTTAACGCCACTAGATTTTTTTATGGGGCCACAGCTGATTTATGATAAATTAATAGAAATAACGGAGCTTTGGGAATGTATTTAGAATGCATTTATCATAGTTTTTAACACGACAGAAATATTCGAAAGAGTTTGGCAATCATTAGTTCAATGAATAGAAGCCTGCATTCTTGCAGAAAGAAGAATGCGTGACACAGGATCTGTCGCATAGATCAAGACATGTAAATAGTAACTAAAAATTATTTGTTTTTGAGGCAGCAATTCTGTCTAATGAGTTATGAGAATAATTCTGCTTGTTAATCTTTGAATTTTTATAATTTTTTAATAAAGCATTTTCAGACATAAGTTTATACAAACCTTTAAGCATTTCCTATTGGACACCATTAATATACTGTATGAATTTGATCCCACCTCTCTCTTTAGGGACACTCTGTACTCACACATATTTTATCTTTTACATATTTTTAATTTTATTTATAAATTATTCTATAAATATAAATATATTAGGTTTTAAAAAATATTTAGGTATAATCTGATAATAGGTTTTTTATATTTGAATTAATTTAATTTAATTTTTCTTTATTTAGATTCAATTTTATTCTTTTACGTAAGATGTTACATCTTTTATTTGCATTTTGATTGCTACTATTTTAAGAATTCAATCTATAGGACAATCTATTTGAGGATTATTTAAACTTAAAAGAAAAAAAACAATATGATTAATACTTAAATTCTTAAAATTATTTTTTAATAGAAAAATTGTCAACAAATTTTTTGGTTTCTTTTATTAGTAATTATTTTATTCTTTGTTATACTATTTTTTAAATCATTTCCTAATAATTTAATCATATCTTAAAGGAAATGCTCACAAGTATTTTCTTCAGATTTTTATAGGCTTGGAGTATGTTGTAGAGCAGGCCTCGGAATTATTTCATCTTTTCAGCCGATTCTCTATACGCCTCCTTTCCTCTCTTCACCGCGCGCGCAGCAGCCGCTAGGGCCAGCGCCGCCGAGCGTTAGGAGCGGCGCTATCCGATTAATGTTAAAAAAAATTTATTAAAAATATTTTTTTCCTCAATAGCAATAATACCTCATGGGTGACGTGGAAATCTATTGAAATATTTTCACATAATAAATTTAAAAATAAAAATATTTTAATAAATTTTTTAACTTTTAATGATCAAGGGAGAAGAACCCAACATTTATCGGATAGCGCCACTCCTAACGCTCGACGGCGCTGGCCCTAGCGGCTGCCGCGCGCGCGGTGAAGAGAGGAAAGGAGGCGTATACCACAAGAATCGGCTAAAAAGATAAAATAATTCCGAGGCCTGTTGTAGAGTAACTAAAAACAAAAGACACATCTATTTTATGTGCACATTCTTGCATGTTTAGGGGTCGAAACAACTTTTAGCTAGCACAATATATTTGATTCTGAGAAAATGCCATAAAAATTATAGAGGGTAGGGTAGGGATAGAGAAAACAGGTGATCCTTTTGCAGACTTTGTTGTTATCCAAAACGTGATACTCTTTTGTAACTCCCTGCTGATTTTTAAGGCTAAGCTCCAACTTGCAGTCCGGCTTTTTTAGTGAGGCTGATAAAGTTGCTTAATCTTACTTTGGTCAGATCCTCAAGTGTCAGAAACGCATTGCTTATGGATCTGTATCTACCACACTATGCCGGGCAATGGTAGAATGTGCACATTATCTTTCTTCTCGGTCGCATAGAGTTGGCAGTTTGTCTGGTCTCCCAGCTCAAATTTAAAGAGGTACTCGTGAGAGCCGTACGGCCTGTTAAGAGGCTTATTGCGGTTCTCAGTTTTTGCCTATCGCTAGTAATTTCTTTGCTCTACTAGATGAGCAGGTACGTTCATTAACAGTTTCAATTGACAGTAAGTCTTGATAGTTTTTCATCTATGCAAGTGCTTTCGGCTCAGATATTCTTTGTTGGCTTGTTTGTCAAAAATTGTGGTGACCTCGACTGAGTGAGTCCGCTTGAGTTCCCAATTGGAGCAGCCTGTCGGTTTTTCGTTACCTGCCACACTTTGGTGTCCAGGCACCTAGATTAGGATTTTATTTGCCTCCAATTCTTGTAGTGCTTGCATGCAGTTTCCAACAGCAGATTCCATAGTGAGCTTTGCAAGCACTAATATGACTGCACTGCTATTTGAGCAGATGCATATAACTTTGTTTTTGATTTTCTCAGAGAGAAGAATTTTGGCACACTTTAAGATGGTCAGCACTTCGGCTTGAAAGACCGTGGCTAATCTTCCCATTAGAATGCTTTTCCTATGCTTCTGGACATTTTAGCCTGTATGCCGTAGTTTTGGCTATAAAGGCAAAATCAAGAAGTAGAAAGCTGAAGGTTATTTCTAACCATTTTCAATCCCTCAATTGGTGTAATCTTCATTGCAGCTCTAAGGTAGCTACCTTGTAGGCTTTTTAATAGGTTCTTAGATACTACTTTTTCCACTTTGGTCCACCAGACTACTAACGCATACATGAGTCTAAATAGTAACACCGCCTTATAAAGCCAAAGCAATTTTAAATTAAGTCTCCAAGTTTTGACCATCGTTCTTTTACATGCCTATAATGAAATGTGAATTTTTTTCTTTTTCTCCTCTAGACGCTACTTCCAGAGTAGTTTATTATTTAAGAGGATTTCCAGGTATTTCACAGTTGTGATTTTCTTTCCCCAGAATTTTAATAGCTCTATGCGATCTAATTTTTATTTCTTGGTGAAAATTGTTCTTCGACTTGATCGTCAGTCCTTTTGCCTCACACCAAGTTTGTACCAGGATGTCGACCATCAAATCCCTGAGAGTATGTACGAATCTATTTCTTACTACGATAGCTACACCATCCGCGTAGTCGTAGATGAGGGCTTTTACAGTTTGCAGTTTCTCTAAGAGTTCATTTACTACCAGGCATCAGAGCAGAGGAGAGAGGACTCCTCCTTGCAGACAGCCCCTTTTGAGCCGATTTTCTAGAGTGTTCTGAATGTTTCGATGCGTTATCGACAGTTTTCTGTCTATAAGCATGCTTTGGGTTCAATCCACAAGAGCTTCTAGAATCCTGTGTCTGATCATTGCTTCTTTGATAACCAAGTTAGAAGTGCTATCGAAGGCACACTCTATGTTGAGGAACATTCCTAGGGCATAGCCTTTGACGACTAACTTCTTTTCCACCCTGCCCACAAAGTAGGGTAAGGCAGTATCAGTTGATCTACTTTTCTTGTATGTATATTGAGAGATGACCATTGAGCGCCCGGATAGTGGCCTTATTTTTATAAATCTTTTAACTAGCCTCTCCAAGGTCTTTAAAAGAAATGCGGTCAGACTGATACGTCTGAAATGCTTGGTCACTACATGGCCATTCCTGTTAGGCCTAAAGTTGAAGGCTTTAAGAATCCTCAAAGTTTTGTCACTAATGAGGACAGAAAAGTGTGTACTCTTGGTTCTGTTTTCACTGCGACCGTCAGCGGATAAACTTTTATTTTGCCTGGCAAGTAGTTTGATTGCTTCCTCTGCAGACGGCTTTGGCTCATCTATGTGCACTATGACTCGATGACATTCGGACAGTTTATCAAATTCTGGCGTACGCAGTCGGATATCTTCGACAATTGTCGTTTCCTGCGTCTGATTTTGAGTCATTCGTAGGAGTACTTGTCGAAGCAGTTAATAATAACTACTCCGTCCTTCTCTGAGGTGCCCTTGAAAGTAAGGATTTTTGCATCCTTCCCTGAGATGAGGATGCGCCTCATAAGGTTTCTCTTTTACAAGAGTGTTGTCCAATTTTCTATCAAGGTAGGCATTATGGCCATTCTGATGACATCAGAAATTGCATGGACAAACATAAGATTTTGGGTTGCTTCAGGGCAACTCTTAGCTTTTTGCCTAATTGTTTACTCGAGAGGCTGGGTGTGCTGAGATCTGATCCGAAGTGCTTTTTGGTCCTAGCAGTTCCTTGCTTCCCCGCTCCAGGAATGCTAAAAGAAATGACGCTTAAGTTTGGAGTTAGGTTTATCAGCTGTTCTTTCCTCCATCAGCATTTGTTTTTAAAGCGGCGCTTTACAGCTGTATCTTATCCGGATCTTTTTGGTCTGTGATTGAGTTTTATTCAGCCCCGCCTTATTTGATGTTTTGTTAGTGGTGTTCATTTTTGTTCCACGAGTCACCGCGATATCACTCGGACAGAGCCGCAAGTGCTCGGGGCTTGGTTTTTTTTACTCCTGGAGATAACTCAAGATACAACACTCCTTGCGCCACGCAGCCCTCAACATGCTCACACCTTGGCTTAGGAAACTCCTCTTTGTGGGTCATGTCCAGTAGCACTCCTGTGAGGGGATAATCCTGCTTGCGATTGTGCGATCACATGAGCGCCCACCTTTAGAGCGATCAGTGGGCTTCGTATGGTCAAGGTCAGTGATGCAAGATCGAGTATCTTGCATCAAGCACCACATGAGGGGAAGAGCCCCCACCATGGC